TGGTGTCATCTGCCAACTTGCTCCGGGTGCACCCTGCCCCATCATCCAGGTCATAACGAAGATGTCAAACGAAATCAGACCCAGTATCGACCAATTGGGCTACACCACCAGTTCCCGGCCTCCGACTCAACTTGTGCCCCTGATGACCACCCTCTGGGCTCAGCTGCTCAGCCAGTTTTCAGTTCACAATTCTTCCACTTATAAACTCTAATCAGTCCACATAAACTCTAATAAGATTTCTTTATTATTATTCTCACATAGTTGGGCCATATGTTGAGCTGTGTTATTGTCAAACAGCGTTGTGTCTGTAGTAAGAGCAGGTCTAGCAAGATAAATCCAGGAGAGGACTCTGTTCATTCACCGCCTTGAGAAATAGCTGAATATACCAATAATATCTCTTAGAAAAACTTAAGAGTGGAGATGTCTTTTATACTTAGAAACCACAGGGATCTTGACATGACTGACTCAGCTGGACACCAGAATCCTCAGATAGCGCTTGTTGGTTGGATTAAGGGATTACCTCAGATAAATTCCTTCAGACCAAGTTCAGGAGCAGCTATTTTCCCCTCCCCAGTAAAAGAGTCTACAGGTAGACCTTTAATTTTCCTTAACCAAGCCTTCTTGCGTGCTCTTTGCTGATCTTCCATGGACTGTGCCTGGTGTGCCTGATGCTGAGCCACAACCGCTGCCTCGTATGCCTCCTTCTGTTTTCCTGTCAGAAGCCTGAACCCACTGTCGCTACAGGAAGGGTCGGCAGCATACGGACAAAAGAGCTTTTTTCTCCTGGAAACAGCTTCATTTTTTGTTTGTGCAATCATCGTACGTGTCGATCTGATCAGTTCAGAAGAAGCTGTAAAGGGATCGATAAGCTGAACCCCATCTTCGGTGGGAGGATTAGCTTTACCATGACCCCCGTGAGCTTGCTTTTCTTGCAGCAAACCGCGGCAAGTTTTGGGACGTACAACAGAGGGAGCAGGGATGGAGGATGGCACAGTGGGTCCGTGCAAAGAGTTTTTCATCTTCAGCTGCAGCATTTTCCTTTCAAAGGGCACAGAAATTCTTTTCATAGTCAGAGAATCACTGTGCAGTTTCACACGTTGGAGCTGGTCTGTCTGATCCTTTTTGTGTTGCAGAGGGGTTTTGTATACTTGTACCTTTCCAGGGCAGTGTTGCTGATGTTCCCACGCTTCCCTGATTTTTGCTGTGTGCTTAATCCTGGAGCTGACGGGGGCTGACTTGCAGGCATTCTGCAGCATGCTGACTGGTAGGAGGTGCTTGTCAGGGGACATGGGACAACTTGAGCCTCTTCTCTTTTCCTGCTGTGAAGTGGCTTCTGCCCTGTCAGGATATGCTGGCACGTGGAGAGAAGGGCCATGTTCGGATCTGCCATCTGTTTCCAAAAAAAAACCACCACATTTAGAGTCGAGGCTCGGTTTTGTGGTTGTTGTTGTAGTAGTACTCTGTTTTTGGGGTAGTACTCTGACTAAGACCAGGGATGGGTGCTGGATTGACAGGCATATGGACAGTGCACCTACAGAACAGGCAGCGTAGAAAGCTGCAAGCTGATGGTGCCTGTTTCCCTTTGAGCATCCCTGGCCACACTAGTGACACTGCCAACATCAGTGGTAACGAACTGTGTCTTGGTTACCTGAGAAGCGTTCATTGCCAAGGCCTGTGCGAGTCAAACTGAAGTCAGAATCTGTAACACAATATTTGTGTGTGGGTGGCTTGGTGTCCACCTTGTTTGAAACTGTGGTGTCTAAAAGGAATGAGGCTCCCCACCACCTCTTCCCACGCACCCCTTTCTTGTCCTATGGTTTGTGCTTTGGGAAAAGAGCTCAAGACAAGTCAGTTCCTCGTAAAATTTTTTGAAGTGTCCAACACCTGAGAACCAGTTTGAACTGTTACGTTCAGAGCTGCGTTTGCATTGGAAATCACAAGACGTGCCTGGCAGCCAGGCTTTGTAGCCCCAGGGTGTGTAGGGATCCACCGGTGCTGTATGACAGACCCATCAAGATGGACTGTGAGATTATGCCCCTGACTAAGAACTAGACGGGGATTAGGGTTACGACACAGAGTGCGTAAGACACTCGGTCCCGTGGCCTTGCCACAGCAATGCGTTTGTCACTTCGCTTTGCAGTGCCATGCCGTTCACGCCTCATTGCTTTGCAGTGCAATTCTGTTTGTCCAGACTGGTTAACTGCAACTTCTGCCCTCCTGAAATGTGTTTCAGAGAACATTAAGTTGCAGGGCAGAAAGGCAGAATACACTGAGACAGACTAATGAAAACTGCTGCTTGTTCCTCATTCACAGAATTTAGAACTGTTCAATCAGCACATAAATAGGACCCTGCATCTGCAAACACCAAGAATTTGGGGTGTAAGACTTTCGAGTGGTATAGCTCTTGTGAAGTAAGATTTACGGGTGTATCTTAAAAGTTAATGTCTGAATATAAACCCTGAGAAAAATCAACTTGTGACAAATACCCTATGGCCACAGACCATGTCTGAGACCTCAGTACTACCTCACTTTCAAGTTTCAGGTTGCCATGTTGTTGCGGGCTGAGACAATTTACATATTATTTTTTTAACCATTCTCTGCGTTACTGCTATTGATTAAATGCCAACTACTTGAAACAATTCTCTATACTTGTCACAGAAAAATAAAAGTAGAGTAAGGGTACCGTAAAAAGCCCCTAAACACTAGAGAATGAGGTCTTAGAGCTAGAGCTGACCACTTGTCCTCTTTGGCTGAACTGAAGTGCCTTCTGTAGCCATCCCAGGCTCTGCAAGTGAACTGTCCCACCACTGCAAATCTTTCACCCAGATGGGCCTGTCTTCTAGAGATCATCACTTTGTGGTTAATCCATTTGTTTATCCTAGGGCACTTGTTTGCAGAACTACTGCCCCACCTAGCCGCGAAGAGTCCTTACCAGTATCTGCCAGGATTCCTGCAAAACGCACACTCGCTGACCTTCCTGAGGCAAAGGCACGGGGTTGTTTGGTGCCAGGAGGGAAAAGCTTTTTCTGCTGCTCTGCCTGAGTACAAAAAGCCTTCTCGACCTGGTGAAGAGGCTGCTGTTGCTGGCAAGTTGTTGATTTCATCGGTTTATAGCAGGGGTCTAGAAAACAGAAGAAAGTCATCTCTCAACATCACTGCTGTTAAACTTTGGGGTTTTTTTTAAATTTAAATAAAACCCTTAGAACTTTTGGGATTTCAAGTCTTTGGTTAGTGTTTTGCCTCCCGTCACAGCTTCTAAGGGTCTAGGTATTAGAAATAATCTAAAGATATTTGTTTAGCAGAAAACCTCACAGAGTTCAAAGTTGACAGCAAATGTTGATTTTTTAAAATATTAAGTATGTACACACAACCCATATATTTTTTCCACTAAAATTAAAATATATTGCACTCAATATATTTGCACTCAATATATTGCACACAATATATTGCACATAATATATGTGTTTCCTGTCTCTACAAAACGTACATCTTTTACCAAGTAGAGCTACATCAAGGAGGTTCGCACCCAATGGCCTTGAAAACAACTTTCTCAGCCCAAGAGTTCATCTGCAATATGCAGTTTGTTTGTAGTTACGGAAGATTTCTAATACATACTGTATTAACTAACTGCTGATCTAAAAAAATAGCATCACTATGTTTCCATTTACAAGGTGCCTACTCATGTGCAATTGCATTTCCCAGTGATGCCAGATCCTGAACGCAGGTGTCCTGTGACTTTCTAGACTATTTTCTAATAAATGATTCAAGCCCTGAATCAGCAGCGCTTTTCTGTGCGTGCCAGCTGTGGGAACATGAGTAAGACTGCTGCTTTCTCTGTTACTCGGTCAGAAAGCGACAGCGCCTGTCTTGACAAACGTGTTGAATGTACACCAAACCTTTCTAAAAAGGTACAGACGTTGTACCGTAGAAAACAGAGGGTTTACAACAGCCTGGAAGCGGCAGGGGTATGGAAATGCGACAGCACATCTGCCAGACGGCACTTTCAAAAGGCAGGGTCTGTATATGGATTCAGACGAAGGCAGTGGGTACATCAAACTACTCTAACTCCTTTTAGAAAGCGATGCTGGAGCAGGGCAGGGGCTGTGCGTAGTACTTTGAGACGTTCCACGGCCTTTCAGTGACTGGCGGCGGATCCAGCAAGACAGCATGAGCTGGTCAGCATCTTGTGTCTCCGGAGCAAGCGGCGGCGCCTGGCCGACGTCGTGGCGTGCCGCTCGCTGGAGGTGAAGCCGTTTCCTGCTTGAAGCCTTGTCGCGTTGGTTTTGCTTCCCCACCCTCTCTCGGTCAGCGTCTAAGGTGTAGTCCCACCTGACACTCTCAAACTGGAACAGCAGCAGGCTGCTTGGGGAGTTGACCACCATCCTGGAGAAGGGAAGGAAGAGCCGCTACAAGCACATCGACACACAGCTCCTGTCCAAGGGGCCCATTGGCTTCCGTGAAATACCAAAACCTGAGGGCGCTTACCCGAGATAACCATCACTTGTTTAAGGAAGCACTAGCACTTAGTCCCATGGATCAAACGCCTTACGTTTTAACTCACACCCCCTGTGAGCTCTGTGGGGCTCTTTTCACTCAGGTCTTCAGCAAAGTTTGTTTAAAAATAATTAGGATGAAAATTGCTGTCAGTGGAATGAGCAACAGCACCAAAAAAAACTGGAGATACCAAGTTATTAGGAACATTTACACCTAAATTGGAGGGGTGTACTGGGCCTGGCTGGGATGGAGTTTGTTTTCTTCACAGCAGCCCGTATACTGCTGTGTTTGAGGGTTGTGACCAACACAGCACTGCTAACACACCAGTGTGTCAGCTGCTGCTTTGTTTAGAGGTGCGGAAGTGAAGGAACCTGGAAGGATTTTCCAAGACTGACTTTTATAAGGAGACAGTAGGCCAGGGAACAGGTAAAGGCCTTGTCAGGCCTTGGCTTGATTCTCCAACCTCGTAAGAAATTTGGGTTCTGAATGCAGATTTACAGTTGGGTCTAAAGTTGTACAGAAACAGGGACATTTTAGATTGCTGAATGCACTAAGCACATCTGTTTTCAGCCACTGTTAACAAAACCAAGTTACTGAAGCAGTCAATAAGCAGTATAGCTCTTGAAAACTTATTTGTGAGATGGACAGTAAAAGGGAAAATACACAAGTCTTTAAATTACAATGTAAGCTACCTAATTTGGTTCTGAGGCTGATTGCAGCTGTTGTCACCAACCTGTTTTCTGCAACATAGAAAGAAGATATGGGGTCTCCTCTGCGGTTGGCCATCAACACTCTCAGGCAGCTTCCAGTCAGATAGTTAAATATACGAATCTTTCCATCAGCACAGCCGCTGATGACTCTGAGATAGAGGAACTCCAGAGACAGAACTTCCCTGAAAACACAACATGTCAGTGTTGGTGCGTTCACCGTGCTGTCGCAGGGAGACATGATCCACTACCTCTTTGGGCTTGGAGGAGATGGCCTGCCTCCATCAACAGGCTAAGCAAAGCAGCTCATTGAGATATTTAAAAGGCCTAGTAGTGATGTCCTTCACAACCACTCGTGTCCAAACAAACCAACACAGTGCATCCTCAGAGCAACCAGTGTGGTTATGGCCATCTGCTGTGCTTTAAATGTCATTATTATGTCTAGGAAAGTAAATTAAAACAATACGATGCTACAGTTTTCACAGTTCTAATAAGAAATTAAAGCATTAGACAATAACATAATATACAGTCGGTAGGGTTCAGCATGTAACCCAGCCACCTCCAACACAGAGGGTGTCTTTTCTTGACCAGGTGGCATGGTACTCTCTTGCATATGGGTTGGGATCCTTGAAATATTGGACTATTCACTTTCAGTCTTAAGTCATCCCTGACTGTGACCAAGTGGTTGCATATCTGCATTTTAGGTTGTTATAGGTCTTAACTGACAAACACTGGTTGCAAACCACATAGTGCCTGATGCCACTTTAAAGATGAAGTTTGTTATAAGTGAGGACACTTCAAACCCTAAGAGTGATAATTAAGGCATTGTGTGTTCCTATAAGGGAGACATCTTCTTCACAGATTTAGTGGACTGTTGAACACAACTTGAAAGACATCCAATTCCTACTTAGAGTGGCGGAAAGCTGTCAGGCATCTCTTGAAGTTTCCCAGCATGCTCCATCCCAGGGCGTATCCATCGGTGCTTCCTGTGACTAGGTGCCACTGATCAAAAGACAAGCACGTAACTGCGCCTTGGTGCCCCTCTAATGTCTGCAGAGTAAAAGAAAGAGGTGTAACGCTGTCAGCAGTCTGGTTGTAAATATGCCAAGATATCTTACGGCATTCACAGTACCAGCCTCAGGTACTATACTGTAGTTTTATCAGGTGTTACTGTAACATACCAATACACCCTATGGATAACTGTGTTAGTTGTATAGTCACAAGAAATATTCTGGGCTTGTTGCTGCTGCTGAGTTACCTGCATGGAATTAGCATCCATTTTCCATCTTTATGACGTGTGCTAAATAGATGTTACCGCACCTCTGTCATCTGTTGAATGCTCACTGGGGAGAGAGGAGCGTGGAGTGCCCTGACCACAGCGAAAGGGGCAATTGCAAAGTCAGCCCAGCTGGAGGTGGGGTATGGTGCGTCTGAGGTGCATCTCAATTTGCAACTCTCTTCCCCACAGGTGGAAAGAGCTTCGCTCCTCTCAGATACGGACTAATACTCATTCTGGACACCCGCTAAGGTAATGAGCAGAATCTGGCCTCAATCTTTTACTTGCAGAGCAGCTATCCAGCTGCTTTAGCTTTATAAACTGCTACCAGTTCTGAGCGCAAGTGTCATATTTTGGGTTAACAGGGAATAGCTCCAACCTCAAAAGCTGTTAGCGAAGCCCTCCCACCCACTTCCCAGGTTCTGAAAGGTTCCACAGGAGCAGAGGTGACTGTATCCACAGAGAACGAGCCATGATGAGGGTTAGGCAAGGCAAATCAAACCCCGGCTTAAAATTGCAAATCACTTTTTAGATTACAAATCACTCCGCAGTTCCTTTTATCAGTTTAGACTGCTTTGGGGTTTGGTTTGGGGGATTTTTATTTTTTTTAGAAAGTCTTTGGCAAAAGCAAAAAGCTGTGATAAACTAGCACAGAAGATTTTTGACCATTTAGCACAAAATTACCCACCATAGAAGAAACTTACTTTGATGAGAGTGCCCGTGTCAGCACACCAGACTTTCACCAGCCCTCGGTCACAGCCAGTGACAATGCGGGTGCCATCCATTTTAACCACCCGAACAGCACCGTTGTGCCTCAGAGTCTGAAGACATTTCCCAGTCTCCAGGTCCCACACTGTTAGGGGCAAAGGGGAGAAATATTAAAAACACATACACCCCAGTGATGAGCTCTGCTGAGTACACCATGAATTAAAAGACATTATTGGACTTACGGTTGCACCTTGTACCTGCAGCTCTGCACGTAGTCAAGTGTTGACTTAAAAAGTATAATTGCAGGGCAGAAATTTTAAATGCAAAGTCCAGAAAATAACACATCCTTTTCATCTTTATTCTATAAGCTAATAATAAGGAAACCTCTGCCAAAGCTGAAAGTTGATTCCACTTTCCCAAGAGCTGATCCAACCCTACAGCCACAAAGCCATTAAAATGGAATAAAAGCAGAAACAGTGAGAATTTATTCAGTGAGAGAGGCCTTGGGTGTGCATGTGTCCACAGCTTAGGCTGTTCTGGGGGCAAAAATATGAGACAGTGAAATTCACCCTCTGATTTATAGACCCGGTTTCGTGGTCACACAGTGCACGTGTCACACTCGTCACAACTCTGGAGTAGTCTGCCCATTGCTCGCCACTATTTGCCTTTGGGAAGCTGCTAGTCTGGGCTCTCACCTTTCACCACCCCATCTCTGGCTCCTGACACAAACTGCTCTTCGTGTAAATCCAAACAGGTGATTGTCCCACAGTGACCATTAAAGATTTTCACACAGGCACCACTGTATATATTCCAGCATCTACAAAGAACGCACGGAAAAGGGAATACAGTGTTAGACTTAATTGATGGCTTATTCATTTTATTCATTATTTCCTACTTAACAGGCTCAGCTCCTCACCCATGCAAGCTAGGTTAAAAGAAGGAGTTGTTCCACTGAGCTGGCAGAGAATTTGGAACAATCAAGCCAGGCTTAGAATTCAGTTTTTTACCCATATACATTGCTCTTCTACCTCCAAACTGCCTGGAAACAGGGGGCTAAATTTCACCTTTGGCCTGGTTACCTTCAATTAAGCTTAAAATGTAGAGCTTTACAGATAAGGTTGTTTCTTTACTGACTGGTGCCAAGCTGATTTTTGTTGACTTTATCTAGAAAACTCAAGCTTGCACTTAAACAAACAGCCCTTTTGGAGCGGGAAGAGCAGGAAGGACAGAGCCTGAGTGGTTATCAATCCCTGTTTGTTAAATGCTGCCTCGGATGAAGCTGAGCAATTGCCATACCAGAGCTGGACAACCTGATGTTTATTGTCACCCCTCGTCACGATACTTTTGAGATGTAGTGATAAATACGATGCCAGGCCAGAGCTGATCACCTCCGCCCCGTGTTTCAGGGTGCAGCACCTGGAAAGGAGCAGCTGTACAGCGGGTACCAGGGTGCTGAGCCTGCTTAACACAACAGGCCTTCTAAAAAGTCACGGACAGAACCAGCCTCCCTGAACTGGATGCTGGCCTTAGCACGACCTGATCTCACCACAATGCCTGTGGGATCTTTGGTGTTTTAAGATTATATAGATATAGATATAGATTAGATATCAGGAAGAAATTCTTCCCGGAGAGGGTGGGGAGGCACTGGAACAGGTTGCCCAGAGAAGCTGTGGATGCCCCATCCCTGGAAGTGTCCAAGGCCAGGCTGGATGAGGCTTGGAGCAACCTGGTCTAGTGGAAGGTGTCCCTGCCCATGGCAGGGGGTTGGAACTGGATGATCTTTAAGGTCCCGTCCAACCCAAACCATTCTATGATTCTATGATTCTAAGATGCTTTAGGAATACCAGTGCATCACTTGCAACTTTGTCATTCAGCACTGGGTGAAACGGGGAAACAGAAGCTGTCCTGTGTGAGTAGGGAAGGTGTTTCCTAATCTGCTGTCCTTCGTTACTCTAATGAAAATGACAGGAAGGAGGATTCCTAGAGAGCTGGAAGGATTGAAGTCTCATTCTTCCTAGATCTGCCGAGGGGCTGGTATCCCAGGGCACAGTCCCCACTGCTCACCTGATGCTGAGATCAAAGCTTGCGCTGAGAACAAACCCTTTCTTCTCATGGAGGAACAGCGCTTTGATGCTCCCAGCGTGTCCGGAAAGCAGAGGAGACGCTTCTTTCATTCCCGACATATCAAGAAGTCTCACTTTTCGGTCTGCAGAGCCAACGGCTACCAAGTCTCCACCACAGTAATGGATCGTTCTGCTGCTGTCTGATCTGGATAAGAAGCAGTGACCGAGATGAGCTTTAGCCTGTTGACAAGGTACAACCGATGTAAGACTGCAACCGGCATTTTAATGGTCCTCACTGAGCAACCTGATGTCAGTGCACTCAAGCAGGTGAACCCTTTGAAGGGCACCACAACCAAGCTCCCTAGTTCTGCACAGCGATGTTTCCATGGGGAGGGCAAGCTTGAAAGGGGGAGAGGGCTCCTCCCAGCCCCATATCCCTTGTGATACACGGTGGGTCACTAAACCTCATGCCTTTAAAAATAACTTACCTTGGTATCTTTATAAATAACTGGATTTGACACTGAGGATTTCTTACCACTGATGCTGAGAGACCCTTCTCCAGCCGTACATTCCCACAGAAGGATTACAAGGACTGGGATAGGTTTTTGGAAGGCACTGTTTGGCCCTATAGCTGGGCAGTCTACTCACTGGTCTGAGAGGGCACGAATATTGTAGGAGCCACAGAAGACATTTCTCTCTTCTAGCTGAATCGTGTCAGTTTGCAGATCGTGATAGGCTGCCTGCAGACTGCCTTCCTCCTCCTGATGGAAAGAGAAATGGGGAAATACAAGTGTGGGAGGGGGGAATGCAGCATTATTCCATAACATTAAACGTGTCAGCTTGGTCCCCACTATTGTGATGAGACCAACAGAGACAGAAAGTGCTGGCAAGGAACATCCAGAGTGCTGGAACGTCCTGGGTAGTCCAGAAATGAGGGTTGTTCCCATGCCAAGTTCTGTGGCAAAAATGGAAGGTCTGCCAGCCGCACCCTTTATTCTTCTGGAAAAAGGCCATGTCCTGGGGATGCTGCCCAGCCTTGCCGGCACCTCTGGCCTCAAGGCTATTCAGGCGACTGGAGGGACAGATTAGGTCACGGCAGGAGTTCAGGGATGCAGGCTCCCTCCCAGGCAAGGAGGGGCTGAGCAAGCATTGGTTCTCATGGATTGCTCATGACGCTGTAAGCCAGAAGCAGGAGTGGGAGAAGAGCAAAGCAACCCCAACTTCAGTCCTGTCTTCCAAGACCACTGTGTCCTCCTTCCTTCCCAAATGCTGAAATGCAGGATCCATGAAAGGCAATCAACTTCTAACTTACCTTTGTTTTACTTCCCAAGTCGTGGCCTTTCACTTCGATGACATCTCCCTCTTCATTTAACTGCGGAATTGTCACATTCACTGTTTTAGCATAGTTTGAAACTGCTCTTCTAGAGCACAACCCCTGGAATAAACCAGTAGAGGCAACACAGTCACTGCAGAGCCCAAGTGCACAAAGGATGCTGCTCATGTGTTGATGCTTCCAGCATCTCCATGGGATGCTGACATTGAAAGCAAAGCTGAGCTGCACACACTGGCTTGCTGTTATTGTTTAAGAGGTCTAAGAGACCTGGCTTTCATTTACCACTTTGTTGGTATGATTTAATTTCTTGTGAAAAATAATTGGGGTTTTTTTTCCCCAAACTCTAGTCTTAAGCTTTTAATAAGCTGCAAAACTTTTCCATTTCAACAGAAAAATTTCTAAGTGCATCTCTTCTTTGGTGAGCACTCAGCTGATGCAGAATCCAAACCCAATGAGATGAGAGGCTCTCAAAACCTCTTTATCAATATCTAAGATTTATTTTTAATGTGTGAAACCTTCCATTAAGCCTTCTTTGAATGCCAGCACAGAGCTGAAAACTCCATGCTCCGTTCACAAATCAAAGCATAAAAAGCCCCCTAACTTTGTCTTTTTGGGGACTTACCTTTACACTTAGCTTGGTCTGTGGCAGATCCGCACTAATCCGGACAAGCCTTTCCTAGAAGTCCTGATTTACCCTGTCCCAACCACCAGCTCTAACTTCTCGCAAAAGAACCTAGCATTCCTCTCTTCCTATGTGGAGCAAACAAAGCTCATTGTTCCAGCTGCCTCACTGTGGCTCTGCCCTATTTCCACTAGCTCCTGGAAGTCCAGTATTTCACTGTGACCAAACACTGTTTCCCTGATTACAGAGTGTTTTGATCCATTTTTGGAGTCTCAGGCTCTCTAAAGGTCAGTAACGGCTATTCTGTGTGCTTACTTGTGACAGTATTAACATCTAACCTGGATTAGCTCTGCAGAGGGGGGAAGAAAGAACAGGGTGAAGTTGGGAAGTGGCCTCCAGCAAAAGCATCTGCTATCTAGAGTATCTAGAGGCTTCTAGGTGCATCTAATAGCTTGCACAGTAACAGAAAAAAAACTCTCTTTTTGAAGTGCATAATGATGGCAGAAACCCAGGCATCATACCTGCAAGTACAGGATCTTCTCCTGTACTGTGCTTTGACACACATGTTCCCTCCTGACTTCTCTGGCCCGGAAAGCCCAGCATCTACTCACAGCAGTACATGCATCAAGGGATTTTTGATCCAAAAACCCTGAGGAATGAAAGGGACAGACTGGTAAACCCTTAGACACACCAGAGACTATTCAGTACCCTTATGGGAAACCACCCTTGGAAAAATCATCGCAGCTTTACCTAAGATGTACAGGGACAGGTGAAGTGGCAGGCAGCGAATTAAGTCCTTGGATCGGTTGACATTAGAGGCTGACTGGAGAGATGCAGGAACCACAGTGCGGTCTTCATCAGCTAAGGACATAATGGGTGACTTATGCCTCCTGGATGAGGGACGCGGTGTTCTGGGGACGGAAGCACATTGCTGGTGGTCGACCACCTAGAAGAAAGGGGAATTGGAAGTCGTTCATACTCCTGAGCTTCAGTGGCTGTTAACGGCACTGTTGCTAGTAAAACACCGCAAGAGTTGGTTGATTTAATCTGACTGTCCTGCTGATCTTTGGTACTGCACCATTCACAGGAAAATGCTGGAAACACTCAGCCTCTTGCAGGACAGTTCACACCAGCAGGGTTTGAGGGCAGAGAATGACAACTCTTCCCACCCACCACTGTCGGGAAGGGTAGTGAGGGCTCTTCACAGCTGGAAAAATGAGGTGAGCCAAGGGACCACAGAGACCCTGGGTGCAGTGTGACAGTTTCCCTGTACAAACACAACACTTCACCTCTCCCACCTCTATCTACAGCAGTCACCAGCATGGGAGGGTGTCTCTCCCAGACTCTAAGAGAGAATAACTGAAATAACCCCATGCCAAGGACAGAGCGCTTCTTCCCTGAAAAGAGCAGAAAACCTTCTCTTCCTTTAGCCATCAGATTTTGTTCAGTAAAAATATGACCTGTGTTATGACACTGCAGAAGGTAAGGAAGGGGGACAAATTGCTGTCTTGTCCCCCAGATAAGAAAGGTAAACACAGCTAACGCCCTTCTCACATCAGTAGTTTTTGCTGGTGACCGTATATACCCCTGGGCATCTTTGCCCCACTGCAACTCCGGGGTGTAAGGCTTTCCTTCCTTTTAGGTGCAACACCAGCCACAGCACTACGTTTTGAAATTCAGGTTGTGCTGGTGGAAGACCTCCAACCTGAGAGAACATCTTGATCCATGAGCAAAAAGGGAGACACCATCTTATATCACTAAGCGTGCTGTCAGCACCTCGGCCAACTTGGGAAGTGGCTCAGAGGAAAGGCAAGCAGCTGCTGAATGGCATCACCTCCTCTTGCATGGCACATCTTTGAACGTTCCAGTTAATTATTGCCATGGTCTGCCATGGTTTGTTCCCCTGCAAAGCGACCCAAACCAGAATTGTTCCTAGGCAGTGCCAGTTGTTAATGTTCTGGTGTGAAACACTCTACATTTTTCCCAGTATTAATCACCCAGATGGCGGTACCCACCTTACTAAGCTGGCCAGTTCTTGCAGATGAGGTTTTACTTTGAAGGGCTGCAGGAGAAGTGCTAGTGGGCCATAGTGGAAGTCGAATCCAGGTACTGGGCTGAGGACAGCTGTCTTTCCTCAAGTTGCTTTGGGCTTCAGCAGGTGATCCACCTACACTATCTTCCTCTGGAAGAACTAAGCAGAGTCAAACCTTACAATCACAGTATGCTTCTTAGAGCGGAATTAGGGGACTGCAGAAGTTAGAACAGTATCATAAGTACCTACTAAATAAATTGGGCTATATTATTTATTCTGTCCCTTCTAGCTATGCAGAATTAGTCCCTTCAGTGCTTTCTTTAGTATGGTTTTCATTACTTAAAACATTCAGTTCACAACCACCCCTCCTGAGATGCACTGCCCAGAAGAATTCATGAGGAAGTTGGTTTTTGTTACGTTATTGTCAGCAACACTTCATTATAGGCTCTATTCATCTTCCCCTTAACGATCACCTCATTTACAGGGGTCCTGCACGCTGGTGCACACGTACAGGCTGGCACGGAGGCAGAGCTGGCCCCGGGAGGCTGATGCTGGGTCAGGATGAAGATGCCAGGTCTGGGTCCCACCTTGCCCTGTCTCTTGTTGCAGGAACACCCTGTTCCCTCCACAGCCCCTTCTCCCACCTGGCTTTACCCACTCGTTTCCCACAGCTGGAAGGATTGGAGACCTAAACAATACCAGATTCGCGATTTGAACCGGAAGGTTAATAGCACAAGGTAAATAAAGCTACAATTAACAGTTATGCTGGCTGAGCAGTTTCCTTCAGCAGTTCCCCTTTGTGTCGCCTGCATCAGGAATTCTGCCACATGCAATAACATACCTGCTAGAGAGGGGAACAGCCAGCAGCATCAGGAACTGCCAGACTGCTGCAGATGACAGGAACCTGGGTAACGTTACCTCCATCTGAGCATCAGCCCTGGACCACAGCGGTTGTACCCTGGAGGTAGCTGTGACAGCCTGGGCATTTTGATGCTGTGTGCTCTAACACCTTCATAGGGAAGCCTAGGCAGCTTGGGTTAGATGAGTGGGCAGTGAGGTGGATGGAGAACCGGCTGAAGGGCAGAGCTCAGAGGGTTGTGATCAGGGGTGCAGAGCCTGTGACTAGCAGTGTTCCCCGGGGGCCAGTACCGGGCCCAGTCTTGTTCAACATATTCATCAACGACCTGGCTGAGGGGGCAGAGTGTACCCTCAGCAAGTTTTCTGATGACCCCAAAATGGGAGGAGTGGGTCGCCTGCCGTGCTGCGAGGCCTGGACAGGCTGGAGAGTTGGGCAGAGAGGAACCGCCTGAGGTTCAACCAGGGCAAGTGTAGAGTCCTGCACCTGGGGAGGAATAACCCCAGGCACCAGCACAGGCCGGGGGTGACCTGCTGGAAAGCAGCTCTGCAGAGAAGGACCTGGGAGTGCTGGTGGGCAGCAAGTTAGCCATGAGCCAGCCATGTGCACTCGGGGCCAGGAAGGCCAGTGGCATCCCAGGGTGCATTAAGACAAGTGTGGCCAGCAGCTCGAGGGAAGTTATCCTCCCTCTTCGGGAGTGCTGGTGGGCAGCAAGTTAGCCATGAGCCAGCCATGTGCACTCGGGGCCAGGAAGGCCAGTGGCATCCCAGGGTGCATTAAGACAAGTGTGGCCAGCAGCTCGAGGGAAGTTATCCTCCCTCTTCACTGTGCCCTGGTGAGGCCTCACCTGGAGTGCTGGGTCCAGTTCTGGGCTCCCCAGTTCAAGCAAGACAGGGAACTACTGGAGAGAGTCCAGAGGAGGGTACGAGGATGATCAAGGGAATGGAGCACCCCTCCTATGAGAAAAGTCTGAGAGGTAGAGGGTGTCCTTGCCCATGGCAGGGGTTTGAAACTAGATGATCTTTAAGGTCCATCCCAACCCAAACCGTTCCGTGATTCTATGATTCTAAGATTAGCCTGGAGAAGACTGAGAGGGGATCCCATCAACACTTATCAGTATCTACAGGGTGGGTATGAAGAGGATGGAGCCAGCCTCTTCATACC